AGACTAGGATTCCTAGAGTTTAATTTCCTCCTAGTGATGCTACGATTTGTTTTTTCGTTTTTAGACTAGGATTCCTAGTAATTCTAGAGTTTGAAGTAGTATTTATTTCAACTTTAGCGCAATTTTAATCACTAACAATGTTTACAAGTAAGCTCTAGATTGAAACTAAGTATATAGTTTTCTGGTTTTTTCGGCTTGCGTTGGATTAGATAGTAGGTTGCGATGGGCAGGAGGAGGACTGTTTTGAATGAGAAGTTCAAACCCCTTCTCAAAAATCTCAAATTCACACTAGATTCTTTACTACCACGTATTAGTCAACAGATGGGTGATGAAAACAACGTCAAATTGGGTCTCTTCAAAGACGAATTAGAAAGCCTTGGAAGACAAATGAAGGAGGGCACAAGGCTTGTTGTCAAGTTATCAAAGCCTATTAGTCTATGGAACTGTTGCATCTGGTACAATTGGTGCAACTACACAGAGCTTAGTTACATGGACCAACTTGTCCCATTGAATAAGTCTCTCACCATAATGTTAGAAACACTAAAGCTGCTGCAAGAAGCAAGGGATGTTAAGGAGTGCTCGCTTTCGGACGACGAACAAGATGAATGGGAAAGAAGACTCTTAGATTTGCTGAGAGTGCTAGCGGCAGGGAATGTGCAAGAATTTTCAGCAAGTAATGAAGAAGAAACCAAAGTGCATGGGCAAACTCTAGGAGAATTATTCTTGGTGATGTTCGATACCGTTGTAGAAGTGAAACACAAAAATAACATGTTCAAATGCCCCCTCCAACATATAAAATTGACGCTAGACTTCTTAATGCCATATATAGGGATAGCAGAGCTGAATCTCCCGAACAAAGACTTAGAATTTGTTAGAATAAAAATAGAGAAGGGTGTAGAACTCGTTCGCAAGTGCTCCAAGCAAGCCAGATGCAAAAAGTACGAATATACCAACGAACTTTTTGAATTGAATCAATATTTTCAAGGACTTTTAGATATACTGGAGATGCGGCAAGCACGGAAGGTGAGGAAGTGCCACGAAACAGAGACGGTGATCAAGAGAATTGAAGAGAGTGGTGTGGTACAAAACCAAACTCAAATTGAATGTACCAAATTGGATCAAGATTTTCAAAGAGTGTTAAATATACTGAGGGCGTGGCTAGCACGGAATGTGAGGAAGCAGTTTGGGGATGTGAGGGAAGGCTAGGTTTCATTGATCAAGCGAATTGAAGAGAGAGTGGTGGTGTGCTAAAAAACCAAAATCAGAAGAAAGAAGAAGAAGAGAGAGAGAGAGAGAGAGCAAGTGAAAATAATTACTGTAAATAAATATTTTATTTGATCTTTTGCTTTAGTTTTCAGGCTTTTAAATCACATATATATTTGATCTTTTAAATTCTGCATTACCAAACTATTCAATTTTACACTAATTCAATTTAGTTTGGGCGGTTTAGGCCGAAACCGAATCCATTTTTATTTTACATTTTTTCAACTTTATTAGTCCAATTACAAAGAAAAAATTCCATTACCTCCTACACACTCTTTATTTTCCAACACATCAAACCATTTCAGAGTTGTAACATGCCATCAAATTTCAAAATTCATTAACTAACATAGTTACAGCCAAAGATAAAAGTTAAAGTGACATTTTTATCGAGTTATTAATTACAAAATCTCTCTAGGTAGCCAATAAGAGGAGTACACATGTACAATAAAACAAAATAAATAAATATATAAAGTGGAAGTTTAACACCGTTAGATATCTGTTAAGTGGTGTGAGGATATTGAAACATTGGACTCGGTGCCAATCTAGACAGCGGAGACCAGTTGACTAACTCTGATGATTTCTGTGATCGGAGCTTCTTCGAGGGAAAGAAAGTCCAACAAGAAACTGGGGACGCTGGAGGGGGCCTCTTGACCCACAAGATTCATGTTAGCTTCAAGAGCTAATCAAGGCCTCTGGAATCGAGCGAAACTGGTCTGAAGAAGCCAACTGATCGCCAATAACATGAGAGATTCTGTCTTCCAGGTAGGATGTGGAGAAATCACGAATCGCCAATAATTTTTCTTCTGCTTTTATGTATATGTAGCTTGTATGCTTGCTTTTATGGTCTTTTCATCTCATCCCATTGAGCTTCTCTGTTACGTGTTTCCCATTTTTGTAATTTTAATATAATATTTGTAGGCTGTAGCTTTTTCTTCCATGTTATATCCGAACTCATGTTGTTCCTTACAGTTTTACAATATGCACGGTAACCGGTCATAATGAGATTCATCATTGAAAGACATACTAAATTTCTCGGAGAAGTTGAATTGGTCCTATATTTTCAACATTTCGCTTCAGTTTTAGATTTTTCTAATTTATGATTGGAGCTAACTTGGGGATTCATAGGTGCTAATATGTGGTCTTCAGCATTGTTAGGGAGGAGTTCTAGAGCTCCTAATTAGGTAGGTAGATCAAGATATGCTGAGGTTTACCCTCTTTAAGAAAATTGGGTGAGGTTTCTGAGATTGCTCTAGATATTTTTGAGAATAAACTTTAAATTCTTTTCAAAAAAAGAATAAACTTTAAATGAGAAAACTGTCATTTGAAAATTTCAAACCAGTAGTCTCTCTTTTTGTACCAAATTTGCATCAAGGACGACAGGAGTATGAACAATTGAGTGACCTGGTACAGTTTTCCAATGGTTGTGCTTCTATGGGAAGTGGAGATCATTTATCCAACTTTCATCATTTACAATCTGTCTTTGAGAATTCTTTAACCCACAGAGGAACATTGTTATCTTAGATTGAAATTTTGTCTGCAGTGACTTGGAGGTAGATTATGAGTCTGAGGAAAGCGCTTCTATTGTCTATGCAGCATTAGCTGTTGATAAGGAGGTGATTTTTCGTGTGCTTAATCTATGTCTTGCTTACTTCAATAGTGATTCAGTTAGCATCTTATCTGATTCCATTTATAATTGCAGTTGCAACCAGAAAAGGTGAAGAGGCAGATGTCAGTTTCTAATGGAAATTATCAAACTTGTCAAGAATGGGTTCTGATCTAGGCCAAACATCATCCAGGACCAACAGTGAAAGGTCCTGTCCTGTTTCCTTAAGAAATATTTGCAGCCACTTAATTGCAATAGTGTCCTCTTGCAACTCAGGTATCCGAGAACCCCTGTCGACAGGATTGCCAAGAGGAAACTAAATTGAAAGAAAGAGAGCGTGTTAAAGTTGGAAAAGCACCTGAGCCATATTGTTAAGAGTAAGAACACAACTACACAAACGAAAAGTAGAAATTTTAGAAGCAAAAACACATGAGGTATAGTTAATCTTAGATAGATGTTGTGCATTGCAAACTAAGAAATCACCTTCCCAACATCTTTTGAAACGCACATCCAAGCCAACTGTAACCGTTGAAGGTACATATTCAGTAACCTTATTTTCAGCATCCGAAGCTTCTAGTGTAGGCAATGTAGGTTCACCTATTCCAATGTCAGTTTGACCTTGTACATCTCCACTACCTTCGATTCGCGTCACCCCAACCTTTATAATTGCTGCTGAATCCAATGTCTCCTTTGCATCCCTTGTTACATGCACGCTCAATCCAACTTCAGGCTGTACGGGTTCAAGTACTTCACATGGATCTTCAATTTCACATGGATCATTTTGTAATTGTACCGTACCACTCCCTTCAATTTGATCGATCACCTTCTCTATATTACTTACGGAAACCAAGCTCTCTATCACATCCCTTGCTAATTGCACTCTCAATATATTTAACAATCCTTGAAGTGATTCATCCAATCCAAGAAGTTTGTTTGCATATTAATACCTTTTGTAGCTAGTCCACTGAAGAACCTTGGAGCACTTGTGAAGTAGCTCCACACCCTCTTCCATTTGAAATCTAACATTTTCTAATTCCTCCTATGGGAGATTCAATACCTTGTTATACGCTGCTATTTCTTATATTAGTGGTTTTAACGAGTCGAGTGTGGATTTGACATCTTCGAGAGGGCATTTAAGCATCAAAGTCTTGTCCTTTACGTGCGCAACGGTATCAAACAGAATGAAGGGCATCAAGTGGCGCCATTAGGCGGAGTAGGAGGGGCTGCTGCTCTAGGAGCAGTGTTCGAAGTGCTGTTTGATACTGTTGCGTGCGTGAAGGACAAGACTTTGATACTTAAACCCCCTCTCAAAGATGTCAAATCCACGCTCGACTCGTTAAAACCACTAATAGAAGAAATAGCAGCGTATAACAAGGCATTGAATCTCCCAAAGGAGGAATTAGAAATGTTAGATTTCAAATGAAAGAGGGTGTGGAGCTACTTCACAAGTGCTCCAAGGTTCTTCAGTGGACTAGCTACAAAAGGTATTAATATGCAAACAAACTTCTTGGATTGGATGAATCACTTCAAGGATTGTTAAATATATTGAGAGTGCAATTAGCAAGGGATGTGATAGAGAGCTTGGTTTCCGTAAGTAATATAGAGAAGGTGATCGATCAAATTGAAGGGAGTGGTACGGTACAATTACAAAATGATCCATGTGAAGTACTTGAACCCCCATAGCCTGAAGTTGGATTGAGTGTGCATGGAACAAGGGATGTAAAGGAGACATTGGATTCGGCAGCAATAATATAGGTTGGGATGAAGTGAATCGAAGGTAGCGGAGAGGTACAAGGTCAAATTGACATTGGAATAGGTGAGCCTACATTGAAGCTCCGGATGCTGAAAATAAGGTTACTGAATATGTACCTTCAACGGATAGCCAATAGAAGCTCTTATGTTTCAAAAGATGTTGGGAAGGTGATTTCTTAGTTTGCAATGCACAACATCTATCTAAGATTAACTATACCTCATGTGTTTTTGCTTCTAAAATTTCTACTTTTCGTTTGTGTAGTTGTGTTCTTACTCTTAACAATATGGCTCAGGTGCTTTTCCAACTTTAACACGCTCTCTTTCTTTCAATTTAGTTTCCTCTTGGCAATCCTGTCAAGTCTATGCAGACACATAAGCAGCAGAAGTTGGAACTGAAGGTGATGATGGTGACAAAAAAATGAAGAAAGTCATGAAAGCTGTCCATGCCATAAATGGTATAATTCTAACTTTTCTTGCTCAATTTTGTTTGAGGAGCTTCAATATTCAAAGCATTCCAAAGAAGTTTCTTTTTGTATTTTCCATTCATTTTTCTGTTTATTTGGATGAACAGGGGTTAGTTCGACCGGTTGGGATGCAAAGAACCAAAAGCTAACAGTGGTAGGACAGTTGGATCCAGTGCTAATAGTGACTAAGTTGAGGAAGATGGCTTCTAAAACAGAGCTGATATCAGTTGGCCTAGCCAAGGAAGAGATATAAGAAATAGAGAAATCTTACAATGGAAGACAACAAAGAAGAAAATAAAGAGAAAAATTTTACTATGAAAGAGAGCAGGTGATGAAGGATACTATAATATTGTTTGTACCATTGGGTACAGCCCATTTCATGTGAATTAATTTCAGATCAAGTGACTCGGCATCTGCGTACTGATGAAAGGAACTAAACGAGCAAGCATCCAACGTTGGTTCTGCTTCGGATGCCAAGAATGTGAGTTTTATGATCAGATACGTACAGTTTTGATCGATGCTGTAAAGGTTCAGATAGGTAGGTAGGGTTCCAGTCCTGATTGTATGGTTCATGAAGTAGCTCAGCAACAAACGTTGACATCTCGTATAATTAGAAAACTTTTAATTTGCCAAGCATTTGTTCCTTGTCTGAGTTGTCTCTAGTGGACAAATTCCAAAGAAAGGGTACACAGCAAAACAGAAAATAGTCGGTAACAGGCGTACCCTGTTCCTGCTAGGGTGTTTTTTATTTCCTTTTGTTCTATAATATTCATTTGATTCTTGTCATCTTTTAACTTTTGTAAATCCATTTGCATTTAGGTTTATATCTGCTGTGATTATATGTTGGTTTGTTAGGTAGTCAGTTCACGACAAACCCCAAAAGCAGAATCTCTTTTTAACCTCGAGTTCTTGATAGTGGAAATTTGACACTTTGCAAGTGAAGAAGAAGGATTTGCTTTATATATTTTGTGTTTACATAGTGTTCGTGGTCATTTCCTTTCACCCAGGAACACCTACCTAGCAACAGATTTCTCCTATCCAGCACAAATTTGTAATTCTTCATCAGCAAATTCTTGTTCTTATTTGCCTTCATTCTACATTCAATCATCAACTTCTGTTGAAGTGCAAAACCCATTGGAATAAAGTACCACAATCACTAAGGTTCTATATGCAATGAGTGGAACAGAAAATTGTATGCAAAATTTCAAATTTAATTCCATAAGCTAAACTGAAAGAGTTATTCACAATTACTAACAAAATCAATCATCCCCAATACAATATTCACATGAGGAACACGAAATGAACGCACAACAAGGAACAATAATTGATATTTTCAATTGATGAGATTTCTTGAACAAGATGAATAGAAGCATGAGCATCTCATACACTTCCATTTGACATGCAGACAGATGAACTAAAAGCCTCCACACATACTACCAGTTCTCCTTGACGATTTTTGATTTCTCAAGTATGAATTTCCCTTCCTTGTACTTCTGCGTTTCCTCATAGGCTCGTTCATACTTCCAACCCAGCACCTCATGGCAGTCACAGCAGGAGACATCAGCAACAGTGTGCAGACCAGTCATGAGTTGTCTGTTTTCTTTTGGCCCGACTGTAATGTTCATTGCATGTGAAAACAGAAAGGCTCGACCATTTCTACCCTATGATTTAGGAAAAGAAATAGTCGAATCAAGTAATGTTCTTGCAATCCTCTCATCATAGTCACATCCAGAACAGGACTATCTAATATAGACATTAACCAAATCAATACAATGCAGAACATAAAAACCCTCAACCAAACAGAAAACAACTACTTGCCTCCTTCCCTTGGCTAATCAAGTTTGAATTGAGTCTTCATTTCAAACTTACACGAAGGCTAAACTTTTATTCCTCATTTCATCCAAAATCTAGTGACAAGTAAACGTCTATTCATTTCATTTTAAAGAACAGATTCTCATTAGCATATCAAAGCAGGTCTCTTTCTTAATGACAGACAATCAAAAGAAGCACAACAGCTTAATCAAAGCAAAGCAAGGTTCTTCACCTGAAAGGCTTTAGAAATGACATCATCATGAAGGGCAACATGGTTTCTGCAATTACAGCAACTATACAACCTCGGCCCAACAAATTCCGCCATCAGAAATCGAGATTACGATGAGCAAAGCACAAACCCCTGAGCCACTATACAAAATTCAAGACCCTCGGCTACAGGGCATCCCAACATTTGCAGATACAGCAGCAATCAGCATCACTTTTTAGTACAATCAAAATTGAAAATCTAAAAGAAGCATGTGTAAATACAAAAATTCAAGAGCAACAAGAAGCTCAGCTTTTCCTCACCAGATATTGGTCCACTATAAAATTGGCTATCAACCAGTCTTGGATGCAATTCCTGTTGACAAAACAGGCCAGTGATTACGTAAAGGATCAAACAACTGAAACCAATGATAAAGAGCAGTAATGGTGATCAATCAAGCCATCAATGAGGCCCAAAAAGAAGTAAACGTCAATTGGTAAAGACAGAATTGCTGTGAGAAAAGTAAAAAGCTAACAAAGAAACCCACTTCAAAAATCACACAAGATCAGGGACAACATATAGCTAAAACCCAGTAATTAACAATGAATCTGGCTTAAGGAGAAAAACCCAATATTTGAAAAATAAAAAAATCGAAACTTTTTCTTTAATTATGAAATGGGTAGTGGACTGATCATCTGCAAAGGCCAGTAAATGCCAGAAATGTTGAAGATATGAGAATTACATGCATAGATTAAAATTAAGGGTTTAATATTTGTACCTGGCCAGTGTGCCATGGTGGGTTTATATAGATATGGCTGTGGAAGAGAGAGAGTGAAAGGGGGAGTTTTAGGGTTCTCTGAGACAGACTGTGAGCTTATGGTAATGGAGAGATGTATCGGAGTTCGGTGAGTTCTAAACTTACTGATTAGGAAGATGACATCACTTTGGCGCTAAATTACAAAGTTACCATTTATATGTTTATTTGTTAACCGAGTGAAGTGGTTGTGCCAAAAATATGGAACACTCTAGTACTCTAG